TGCCCAAGTTTGAATTTAAACCTAAAAGTGGAAAACACTTCTCTACAGAAGATTCTGTCACGTTCATGTATGGCTCGGTTGACTCCGAGTCTTAATCAGTGGTTTCATTTCGGAAGTGAATTAGCGGTTTAATTTTACTTTGCGGCGAGGAACGGTGTAATTTAAACCTCAGCCTATTGTTTGGGATTTAATTTCTTTTGCTATCATCGCAATTTAACGATATCTATAAAATTATATCGTCTTGTTCTAATTTAAAGGTAAGATCGATTTAGCCATCTCTAGCAGGTAACAATATATGGCATTTTAATTAGACATGATCCTGCCCGTGCTAGCCGGTTTTTAAGGTACGTTCCCCCTTTTGCTTCTTGTTCCTTTAAACTTACTTCTCGTTATAATTCTTAGGCTTCTCTCCTTTTTATGTCTCCCTCTCTGTTATATTCCTTTTTTCTTTCTAGATAACCCCTTACCTTGTCGCAATGATCAACCAATCACTGACCAACTACCTAACGACGAATGACGTCACATTACGTCCAGTCTAGCTGCTACAATAAATATCCGGTGCCGGTCTTGATGGCTAATGATGAAATCCGCTGGATAGATTGACGCTTAGCAGAACTATGGATTCTGTACAGTGTCTCCAACTGGTGCGCTTACCGTGTCCAAGAAAGTGGTCCCTCAATTTCCGCCTGCCGACATAACAAAAGTGTCATGCCGTCGCCGGTCGCGATCCTGGCGGCGTCCCCGGCAGCGGTGGTGAGTGTTGCCGATGCCTGTTCTGAAGCAGGTCGCTCTCCAGTGTGGCAGCCCACGGAAGCTTCGGCAGCCAGGAGTTGGGACGCCGCGACGACAGGGCCATCTCGCGTTCGCTTTCGTGATTTTCGCAAGCGTTTCTGCGACCAACCGCCAGGATCGCGATCATCCGACAGCATAAGGCACCCTGGCTTCTATCACGTCCTTTGTTGCCACTTTTCGGAACCACTTTTGATGTATAGGACGCTAAAACACACCAGTCGAAGAACCGTTCCAGGAACCATAGCAGAGCGTATGTTTGTTGTGACTTCTTGGATAACTGATAACCATATATTGTATGCAATTTATTGCTCGCATTTGTGTGAAAAAAAAATAACACGTAAGAGAGTAAGTTTTTAATTAAAATAGTTTGTAATCGCCATCTGTAATTTGTTAATTATTATTTGGTGACTGAAATGAAGACTGGCATGTTTTGATGAGCTTGACAAACGCCGGAAACCTAGTTTTTTGTTTTATGCTAAATGATTGGTAAGGCGAGTATGTGTTGTCTTTTGTGCCATTATCAAACGAGTTCCAATTGTTTAAGCTTTGACAAACTATTCAGAAGAAATTCATTATGTCGAACTTATTATTATTATTTTCCGCCGTTTCTTTTTAGACGCGATTTATTTGTTATTGATAGAGTCATTAATGTAAGTAATTTGTGTATAGCCACTCTACCTTTAAAAATAACTTCACGCCCACAAAATAAATCAGCGGCCGAGGAAAGAAACAATGAAAAGTTGAACACCAATGGATGCCTCTTTAATTTTTTTTTTTATTGAAGCCCTAAAAAGTTACAGCTTCGGTGACTTCGGTTAACTCGCTTAATTACTATCTTCGAAATGCGTCCTATACAGGCATGCGTCCTATAGTAGCTATTAGCGAGAAGAATTGCAGGTGGCCAAGTTTATCCCAGAACACAAATGCCAAAAATAAATTAGAGGGATTGACGACGAAACAAGTGTCTGTAATGGAATCACAAACATCGGAAGAAAACGCGCATGTCTCCTTCTGATCGTTATATGATTTTTCTTGTTTTATGTAAATTGAACAAATTTTCGTTATTCGTAATCATTCACCTCGGGGATAAAATATTTTTCCTTTATTAACCTTGCGATTCCAGTGCAACCAATTCAGCAACCTCGCACACATAATCATCGCTGTTACGTAGTTGGGGCGTGGCTATATACGAAACTGCGAAATTCCCATCTCAGGGGGGAGGCGCTGGTTGACCTACTGAAGGCTTTTTATTTATATAGGTATATTTTTTTTGTTGTTGGATAACTTATCGTTGTGCGAATCTTGGATGCATGCTGTTTTGAGGTTGCGTGGAAACGCATTTGTTATTTTCACCCTAAATTCATGGCTCCGCTGAGTGTCGTATTTACCTGCACCTGGTGATTACTCAATTCAGACTGCGAACGTACATATTTTTGTTTTGTTCGATAGCAGTCGGTACTTTGTTTCCAGTGTCCAGTCACGTGGCAAAACCGTAGGGTTTTTATAAACGTATCTTTATTTTTTTTATGCAGTAGGCCGATTTTTTTTATTGCGTTCATGACTTTTTCTTTTTTGCTGATTCTTCCTTGTGTCTCCATTTATTTTGCCGACCATGCTTAAATTTATACGATTTATTCTGCCTACAATGTGCAAATCACGTCAAATTATGCTGAGCGCGATTTAGTCGGTTATGAGTGTGCGCGTGAGTTCTACACGTGAGACATGGAGTCTGGCATTTAAGTGGGGTCTGATGAAGTGTCCGAGCTTACTCAAAGCTAGCTCACGTTTTCTTACTGCGCCTATAATAGCGGCAACACTTCATTTCGGAGTCGATTGATTTGGCGGTTTTTGTTTGCTCGTCTCTAGTGCGAGCTCCGACGTATTGGTGGATCTGAGTTTACCCTTATAGTGGATGAACTATCAAAATTGCACTGCATACCAAAAGCGGTCTGCACGCTAAACAAGGGGACAACTTTCTGTGGCAATTAAAAAAAGAAAAAAAAAGTGCGCATGCATGTCCCGAGAAATTGAGGGAGAGAAGGAGACCGGAGCGCGAGACGACGTCAGAATGCCAAGCTCTTATTGGGCCGATTAGTGGGTAGATGGAAAGCTATAGCTGCCTTTGTCTCGCCACTGCACTCGTCGTATGCGTTACAACGTGGAACGCCGGCGTCTGGCGTTTGGCTTTCGCGTTCGAAAGCGTTCTACGAGTGCGGCGGAGACAAAGACAGCTATATAGCTTTAGGCCTACCCACTAATCGGTCCAATCAGAGCTCCGCGTTTTGCGCGCGAAGCTCTCGCCTCCTCGTCTCCGTCAGTTTCTCGGCGCACGTAGGAGCTTTCATTGCGCTCTCTGAAAAAAAGTTGTACCCGTCTATAGAACATTCTAATCATCACCTTCTGCGCGCTGACGTCTTATACTGATCTGCGTAAAGCATTCTGACCATGCGCAGTATAATAGCCTTCGTCTGCCCATATCAGAACCCGCGCAAGTTCTCACAACCCAGTGACACGGGATTTTTCGCCTGGGTGAGAAGCGAAAGGTGAATATATGGTGAGTTAGAACGGGACAGCATTCTCGCGGAGTCCAATATTCTCACGGCTCACGGGAGGTTATCTCATGTTTATTTTCACAACCCCATTCGTTTGTGAAAGGTTATATTACGATGCGTGTGTGTAGAAAAAGAGCGGTGTCTCCTGTCATCAATTTATGCTTAGTTGCTGTTATATACGGCGTGCACGTTCGTCTGCTCTTCGCTCGTTGATTAACGTGCCACCCCCTTGCTATCCACTGCGGCAAGGACGCGTTTTAAAACCCTTGCTCTCCGTGTACACTTGCGACTGCGCATTCTCCAGATAAGCAGATGTGAAAACATAGAAATCACACGCATGCACTTCAATCGCAAAAAAAAAAAAAAAAAAGCGGAAGACGCATTGATTAAAGTCTTCATATGTGCCTATATACGCTGGTTTCTGCAATGTCATCGAGCGAATCGGTTTGCATGCAGAGTCGGAAGGAAGGCGTTCGAGTTAGTTTTGCCTCTATACACCAAACTTCTCAGCGAGCTGTCCTGGCCGTTTTTTTTTTATTATACCACAATGAATTTTCCCTTCATAAGATTTCATGCTTAATAACAGTAATCAGGGGGAGTGCGACAACCAGAGTCAAGCGAGTGCCATGGACGTCGAACCAGAAGGGGCACGCGCAAATATTTCCCCGATCTTGAACGCCGACCAAAAAGAGTTGGAAAGTGGCCGGGACCGACCGAAGAGCGTAATTTCCGTCCGCTAAAAATGACATGCACGCCTGTCTGTTATAGGACAGGCCTTAACACGGTGAATGTCCCAGAGGAGATCGTGACCTTGTTATTACACAAAGCAAACACCTAGGAACGGCTCAATCACAATGATCTTCAACTCGCGTGCTCGGCGGGGAGGCACGCATGCCGGCAGTCACTCTGTTTCCTTTCCTTTTTTTTTTCTTTCTGATTTGTCAGCAGCGCCCAGGAAGTGTGCAATAAGATTCTCCGCCTCCGGTACGATATCTTTATGCACTTATATTGTGCTGGAGCACCACGGAAAGCAGTGAGCCGGCGTGGGATGATATGTGGCACCCCTAAAGAACCACCGTGCATCTTTGAGCCTTACGTCTGAGAGTGAGATTGCTTTGTATTCATCCACGTCGCACGTCTATAATTACTTAAATCTGCAGTTGGTAGTGCTCAGACATGGTACAAAGTACACTCTGTTCACTGCACGCATGACAAAATTACCTGCGAACACGCGTCAAGCACAGTCGAATCACGGTTGCACGCTTTAAACATGTGTGCCGACATTTTTTTTTGTACATTCAACGTGACAGAATTGTATACAAGGAAGAGAGACGCCTGAGACACTCTCTGTACATTGTCTTTTGTGCAACGCATAAGCCGTATGGCCGCTTCGCAAAGGTTAAAACAAGAGATACAGCGTTTCAACTCAAACGCGAGTTAACCCCCGGTCTTCCGGGCCACGCACTCGCGCACCATCGAAGACTTCGCGACGGCGAAGCATCATCGATGACAGCGAGCCGCCGGAGGCGGTACAACAGTAGGCTACTCCCCGCTCCCGCGGCTCTAAAACCTGCTAGCGGTTATCTTATACGCCGGCAACGCACCCCCTTCGCATCCTGGCTCTGAATCGTCGCAAGGACAAGGTGGGACACTCACGTTGCGGTCCGGAGGAGAAGCGCCATGAGCACGACCACGACCAGGCTGGCCGCTGTCCTCCGCAACAGCGCGTAATCCATCGGGCTTGCCCGGCCTTCGGCACCGCGACGAGCCGGCCCTGTCAGACGACCAGCGGAGCTTCTTCCCCGGGTCTCCGAGGGCCCGGCGGCATGGCTTCGACTGCGTCGTCCCGTACGAGTACGCGTTGCCCCCTCTCTCGCCGCTTCTTTTTTCGGCAGGGCTACGCTGGAGGGCGGAGTCGCGCAACGTGCCTTTGCCGCGCCTCCCCCCAGTCCCCTCCCGGGGAAGTCCCCCCTTCTTCTTGCTTCTGGGGCTGCTGTGTCGGCTTTTACGGCGGTGCCGCCGCACCGCTCACGTCGGCTGCGGCCTGCTGTCGCTACCGCCTGTGTATGATCGCCGGGGGTCCTCACGGTTCGGACGTCTTCTTCTGCGGCGCCGTTGCAACGGTAGATTGGGTCATTGGCGTTGGCAGGTTGAACGTGTGCGTGGGGTGTCTCCCCGTTGAAGAAGCCTGTTGTTGTTTTCTCTCCAGAACCCGATAGTTGTCCGGTTGCTTGGACCTAACAAATATCTGGTAAATTGTACCTCAAAGATGAGTTATATCCAGATATTACTGTAAAATGAGCAAGTGCTTGCTTCTTTCGACAGTACCGCGGGAATGTCCTGTCCTGTCAGATCGTGTTCTTGCGGTGTCTTCTCGATGTGGCCCCTTGAAGAGTCTTCGTCTAAATATTCGCAAGAAAGCCTTCGGCGAAACGAAGCGTCCTCGTGAAGTGTCCGCAGTGTCTCGTAGAAAGCGTAAACCGATGTTGAATTTGAAATTGTCTACGCACTTTATGCAAATCGGTAGCGATTACTTTCTTGGCGACGCTGAGTGCCCAGAGGCACAGAGTCCGGAAGCCCTGAATTCCTTCTTTAAATGCATCGTACAAGTGTACAATGAAGATGCCCCGTCGAGGAGATAAGGAGACCTCTGGTATCTAGAGGCCTGCTTTCGTACCCTTACGTCACGTCACGTGCAACTTCGTTTGTGGGGTTTGTGGGTTCCTTAGGCTCACTAACGTTGCCTTGTGGTCGTTCCATGAACGTTGTATCCGCAAGTTTTCCGTGTGCTCATGAATAGCATTTTCAAAATGAAAACATTCGCACTATTTCTGCCGGAGCTTCAGCTTTTAAAATTATTACATTTTTTAATGTTGACGTGTTATTTCTGTATGCAGGTGTGGTACTAACTATTCCCGATTGACGTTTGGCGGGTGGTGTACCGTGACAGTTGGCTTTAATAAGCGCAGGTGCAGGGCTGGCAGGGTTGGGTGAAGTAAGCAAATGTCTGAACGGTGCTTGATTCCTTAAATCCTTTGCTTGCCTTCAAGTTGTTGCCCTTTCGCCTTCACTTCTGAGCAGGGCATGCCTGATGTCCAACGCGTTTGTAAGGGACTCTTCTAGCGATCTTCAGGCGAAGCGGCGTTCTTGGCAGAATACTGATTTCGCTTCTTCTTGTATAAACGCTTTTTGCACTCATTTTCGATGTACGCTACTGGGTGTCGAGACAGCACACAGCGAGTTCTGCGATATCCCTGGAGGTATGCGCAGGTGAACCTTCAGCTCTGTTTCACGATGCCGTAAGTATTTGATGGCTGACAAGAGTGTGAGCTGATTTGATTTCTTCGTTTACACTGTCATGAAGGGCTGCGGTCTGCGGTCGGCTGTCAGGTCCCAGAACCATGGATCCTGCGTAGACACATTGCAGCTCGTGTTAGATTTGCGACAGTTAGATTGACGGTTTTCTTTGTTAGGACATTGAGAGATGTGTTTTAGACGCATATGCTGATTATATTTTCTTATACAACCCTGCATTTAACGGAACATTAACTCAATGAGAATCCGCTTTGTTTTGTTTTTGTTAGCTAATTCTGCAGCTCTCAATATTTTACGCATTATATTCATGCTCAATATTCCTATTTAACTTGAAAAAAAAAATCGTTTAAAGGTTTAAATATTTCCTTGCGTTTAAAAAAAAAAAAACTTATGAAGAAACCGGGTTATAGTTAACTTAATGGTAATACACGATTTGTCAGAGAAAACCTTGAATTTTCTTTTTCTTGGCCCAAATTCTGCTAATATACACAGTGTTCACCTCGTTGTTTTCCACTGGTTTCACTTAATTGTTACTAAACGCAGTGCAATATTTTCACTATATTATCGATAAATATTGCAAGTCGATTTGACTTCCTTATCAATTACAAATGTTTTGAAATGTGAAGATTTCTTGGGTTCATGACCAGTAACTAATTGTACCAAATATGGATTACCGACAAATCTTGCGTTGTGATTCGTAAAAAATAATCATAAAAAATAATTTCTTCCTGATTTAACACTGTCTTAGTCCTTTTTTGTATTTCTTTGATCCAACTTTAAGACCTTCTAACTAAACAGGGATATCGCAAGCAGGCTAGAAATGCAGTACGGCGTACTTTATATCATTATATGTCGAACAAAGAAAGATCAATGTGATGCGTTCTGCGTAATTTCTAAAAGGGAATGGAGAAATCTTTAGTGATAAATGAGTGATTATTTCGGGCGCAGCTCGCAGGCAGCCTTTGTTTACAAACGCGAAAGAAAGGAAGATTTGTTTTTGTACTCAATAATCGCTCATGATTAGAACTTAGCGTCGTCAGATACCGAGACATGCGATAAATATAATGCAGTACTCATTGTTCGTCAGATTGAGAGTATCTGCCTCGGTATGCTGTTGTTTCAGGCCTGACCCATTTGCTGCGCGACTGACATATTTATTCTATCTCGTTAGTGACGATTTCACTCGAATCCTTGTTTATTCGCACTAAGAGAGCTCCTTATGTATACATGTCGCGTGCCGCTGCAGCAGTGCAAAATGTCAAAATATGCTCTTGCTTTTTTGATTTTCAAATTATCGTTTATTGTTAACATGGTTAACACTAAAAGCCGTTAAAATATCTTACCTATTTTTCTATTTATTCTCAAAATGAAATTTCTCCAACAACCAATGTTGCTCGTGATAAAAAAATGATTGAATCGCTTATTGGTTCGATTAAAAGTGGCTCATATGGAAAGAAACGATGACTGACGGACAGTTTTCCTTTTTGTCGATTGTGACCATACATAAACAAAAGGTACCCCCACAAAACACCGAAAGTTAAGAGATATATAACACACTAGATACATTAAGGGTGCGATACTTACGGACGCGAACACGCCGTGTACCCTCTTGTAATTGGTACGGGTATCGCCTCGAACTGCGGAGCTCTGAAGGGTACGTAGCAACCACGTTTTGTTGTACCAACGTAGCATGCGCGACAGACATTCACAGCACGAACGTCTCCCGGCGTAACCACGGTGTCCGGGAACACAGTTGGACCAAATCGAACCACAACAATTCAAGCCTCGTCTGGCTTGTCGACGTTATGTCTTCGTTGCTGGATTCAGCACCAGAAATGACGTAATAACACCGTCGCCCAAGTTTTCCCTCGAAGGCTAATTATGGCTCTCTCGTGTTTGGTACTCAGTCGAAAGGCGCCATGCTCGTCTGCGAACTTCGGCAGCGAAGCAATCGAAGTCTTTTTGTAACCTTAGCAACATTATCTCTCAAGTCGTTCGTGGTATCCTTGAGTCTGCCTGGAGGTGGATCCTGAAACGCACGGCACTCCGCAGACGACCGCCCGTGACTTGGACGCGTTTAGATTCACTAGTCGTTCGACGTCGATGCCCTGGCTGTGGCTTGTTCGACCCGAAGTTAACTTCAACTACGGATGATAACTCCTAAAGGCACAGGCGCGAGATTTCTTGGAACACCAGACACGCAACACTCAAACTCGCAGCGGTATCCTCAGAAGTTGATCAGGACGATGCACCACACGTCTGCAAACCATACAGTTGGGCAACGTAGTGGCGGCACCGGTTGCACGAGTAAACAAAATTTCACCGCGTAGGTTGCGGCTCACGGTACGTCGCCACGTTGTGCACACAGAAGCTCATGGTGCTCGGAGAGCGAAGGCGGCGTTTTCTCCACGTGACGGCGGACATCGGTTGCAAGGCGGCCACGAAGCACGAGAAACGAAGTTTCTGCTATAGGATCCGAGAAATGAAGAAAAAAAGAACGACAGACAAAGAAACGGGAGCACTCTTGGCAAGCACTCGATGCGAGCAGAATCCGAGGAGCACTGCTTACTCTGTGTTCTTGAAGACAGATCTCGCTCAGAATGTTATCGGATCCGCGTTCAAGTGGCCGAACAAAGAACTGTTCTTCGACTCCCTGATAGAGTTGTCTTTATCAAGGTAAACAGGTCGAGAGACATCCATGCAGGTGATGATCGTCGACGACGGGAGTTTCGAAGCTGCATCGCATAGAGCGAGAACTTTCTATAAAGTCTGACGTATGCGTCGTTATATACATGGACGCCGACGAGGTGTATATACTCTTCGGAACCTGGCGACAAGATTCATTGGCCTGGGGTAGCCGAGCTTGCGTGAGCGTGGGAGCCGGATGCGATTCACTTTGATTGGAGAAGCATGTCACTTGGACGCTCTAAGTTAGGTTTTGATGGCTGTTGGTTTGTTTTCAAAACAACATTTAGCGACATGCGCTACCCTCTCTGGCGATGATGGTGGGAACCGCCAAGATCCGAAGAAACGTTAGGACAGTAAAGCGCATGTAGGTAACCATTCCACAACAATGGTTACCCTAACTAATTGCTGAATGCTCAATGATTTCGTTGATGGACAGAGAGATCACTGAACCGCACTGAACATTGCTAGAAAGCCTTTGTAGCTTCCGTAATGCAATTTTACCGTCCAGTTTAAGCTGGGGATATACCTCTCTAAAATGTTCTTAGTCACTAGGCGCTTGGTTTTGTGACAAGGAGACGAGCAATAAAGTAATCAGCACTTCATTTTAAAACCAGTGATTTGGATTGATCTAGATAAGGTTTGTTTAGCAGGCAGTTAGCAAGCAAATTTGTGAAAAACAGCAGGATAACGCACTACTAGTCGTCATTCAACGCAAGTTCGAAAACTTTAACAGACACTCAAAAGCTAACTGCAATTATTTTGTGTTGCTAGAAAAAAAGGGGGCCAAGTTGTATAAAATATTTCCAAGAAAACTGAATACATCAAATTGTCAGAAGGAGCAAGGGGTAAAGAAACCTAAATTTGGTGAAAGTTTGTATAACAGGCGCTATGTATAGCACCATAAACGGTTTCAGTTCCATGTTTCTACGTTGGCGATAACGCTAAACTGGCAGAACCATAGAACATAAAACCTTCTGTTTAGGGCTACTTCTTTTGCAAGATTTAGTGCAAAGTAAGTTCTCGTGCCAAAAATAACGTGCTGCAACTGGAAGAACAATGGTTGATTACAAAGAAAATGTTGATCCATCATATGCACTAAAAGAATAAATAAAATGATAAAAAATGTGAGCGCAATGAAAGGAGGAAGGGCGTTTCATACCCTAGAAGAGAACGTGCAAAATATCTTCTGGAGGACAGAAAGACAACGACATATATCGTATTTTAGGCTCAATAAGTTCATCGTTGTATAATTCGCACCCCCTATAAGCAACCGTTTTTACAAAAAAAAAAAGGAAAAAAAAGTGATATGTAAGTCGCTACTTTTGTATAATTTGAACTTGTACGCTTGCGCGGTCGGCGTGGCGAAATGGAATTGATAAGCCCGCATATCTGTACACAGTGATAGCGAATTATGCGCAAGTGGGAGCCACTTTCAATATTCTCACCAGCGAATCAAACAAGTAATATGACCCCCACAAAAAATTGTTTTCCCCGCATTTAAGGCTAATATTTATAGACAAAAAAAAAATGCTGATGAGTCTCACCGTTCTCTAAGACGCGCCGACGGAAATTTTAGAAAAGAAAAAAACAAACAAAAAAAAAAAAAACGCTCGTCTTCTTTCTTCGGAACAACGTAATTGCCCGTTCTGAAATCGTTAGCTCCCGTTCCAGACAGGGAGCACGTGTTCACGCATGTATTAGATAACCTTGTGTGCTCAAAAAGCTCTCTTCATTTGACTGCCGAACGAGCAGAAGATAATTCCCGATAAGCCGTGGCGCATTTGCAATCAATTCTCGACGTGTAGCACGTCTTCTCCGATTGTATTCGCGTTACTATGCTTCATTTCAGCTGAAGTCCAGGCGCATTCGACGCTATACGAGGTCAATCAATCAATCAATCATTCATTCGATCAATCAATCAATCAATCAATCAACAAACCAGCTAACCAATCAATCAATATACCAATCAATCAATCAATCAATCAATCAATTCATGTTTATTTTCCCCTTGTGCTAACGAACAGCTCGAAAGCCTACTGGGTTAAGCATACACAATGGTAATGCACCATTCATGCAGCGTTAATAGCGCATATCACTTGTCTTTTTCTGCTTGCGATTGGTTCAGCGACGATAGAACGCAGACAGAAACATAGTCAACACCGTGATGGTGTGCCATAGCACAGATGTGAACTGTCTGCATTGTTGTCTATTACGTATCGAGGCATTGTATAATAATTATAATAATTGCTGGCGCTGTAACGAACCTATACAGATTGCCCATTCTGGTCGAGGATTCATTTCAATAAACGGAACAGTAAATCACGAATATCTGGTACTATAAACTAATATAAAGGTAAGGAATAAACGTTAAAAAAAGTGCGTGAAACAGACAGGATTGAAAAATGGTGTGTTTGTGTCTGTTAATTTTTGTCTCTTGCGTATCAAGGCATCATTTCCTTCCTAATCGTTGGTGCTGTAATCAAGCAAAACAGATTATTTATTCTGGTCACTGAATCACGGCCACGATGGAAGATTCTGAAACACAAATATCTAGTAATAACTTATTAAAAGAAAACACAAATATCTAGTAATAATTTATTAAAAAAAGAAACAGAAATATAGTCAATCTTGTTGTTCTCTTTATTGTCAATAATGTTTCAGGACCTCATTCACAGGTTATCAATGTTGCAAACAGGCAGCGAAGAAGGAGTTGCCACTTTCGTAGTAGAATCATGCTGATAATGGGGATACCAGTGGTCGGTGTCGACCCCGTAGCTTAAATTGAGGTAAATATAATTTTGATATTCGTAATCCTGGAGGCCCAATAAATATGATTTAAGTCTTCTGTTTCTTCTCCAATAACGAACCGCTTCAGTTTTCCTTTAACTTCAGAAAAAAGTTGGCAGATTTTAAAAATCAGAAATAGCGGAAGAAAAATGAATGAAGAGATAACCACCGCTTAAATGCTACCATGCTATTATGTGCACTGTATCTAAACTTAAAATAGGAAGTATTTTTTTAATACATTCAACTAAGTATTAAAAACATAGATAGCGAACGACGTTTGGAACAGCAGTGTGTAAGAAAAATGATGTCACTCTATGGTGCAACGCTTTTAGTTTAGCAGCTTTTCACCACGCACGTACTTATCTTTTAATAATGGCTAAAAAACCCAATGATAGTGTTCTTTTATGTTTAGTGGTATCAGTGAGCACATTGAAATAACGCAGATAAATATTATATTGCACGAACTATGCCAACTGGCTTAAACTCTTTCGGTACTTTTACGTGATTCTGCTTCTAATGAAGTTGTATATTTAGCGGAGGAATAGTTAAAAAAAATGGATATTGGAACAAAGTAATATCGACGAAATTCCCAATAAGTATTTTTTTAGAGTAAGAATTCATGTATGTAAAATGTGTAGAGTGAATAGAACTGGAAAAATCGACGACAGTGGATAATAAATTCCAGTTGACCAAGATGCCTATTTCATCGGTCCAATCTGAACTTTCTTTATAAAATTATTTTGCACTCAAAATTAGAATGCGAACAATTTCTTCCTTATTGTGGCAGGAGAGCATATATACTCTCTAAAGGTAAATAATATATTGTTAGATTCTAAACTATTTCTAAGTGGTAAACGTCCGAGTCTTTACTTAAGCTTTGCACGGACAGGAAAAAGCTTCCAACAGAGGGGTCGGTATGCAAAATCGCGAAGCATTTTTCTCTCTTGCACAAACCGTGTTTTAATTTTATAGTCAAATAAATAAATCATCAGAAATATCACATAATGTGTATAGTGAATATCGACAAAAGGTCTTCATCATTCTGCGCATTATTTTCGCACCATTAGGATTGCGAAGCCCATCAAGGTGATATTCGATATTCAACCGGTCGATGCAAATTATCCTCATAAATATGAAAATTGCATATTGAATGCATTTTTTTATTTTATATCATTGACGAATAAAGTGAGATGATGATGCAAGGTTTTTATTTTGTAATATTTTGTTCAGCAGCCTTGCGGAGATATATGCAAATCGTATTTGATTTTAATAAATAAAGACACAGCGCGATTCTGCGGTAGTCCACTTCGTGAACACTCACTTCATGCTTCTATAAGGGTTAATCCTCAGGCGAGCCGGTGCTTGGTGATACTTAGTGAAACCTAATAAAAGGATTGGAGCGTTCCGTTGTATATATGTAGGAGACTGTCGTAGCAATAAAACTGCGATTGTTTTGAGACACTGTTGTGTATGCCCCTTTCTCGTTTTCTCTTGTCCAGTTTTTTTTTTTTTCAGTACGACTTCTTGCTTCATTATGAGTACCTTAAACACTAAAAAGTGATCATAAGTGGTTTCTCCTAATTGATAATATTTAAATACACCATCAATTTATTGTAAACATTGCGCTTTCTATGATTAAAAAAAATTATCTGACCACTTGATGTAGATATATCCTGTAGATCTTATATACCGAGCACAACGTGTAACGTCGTTGCAAATAACGACGTTACTTGTAACGCGTTGGGGTTTTCAGTAATGTACTAGCAACCCTAACGCGTTACATCGATCCCTGCGAAGGTTCGCGTGCATTTTGTAGGAACCCTGGCAACTCCTCCTCAGCCCAGTTGCCCGACTACGGGCCACGGGTGGCGAACTTTCCCGCGTGGCGGCGGGGTCAAGCCGGCCACGCTGAAGTCCCTCGATGTTTAAATACCCAGGGACGTTAGGCCACGCGCACATTGCGGATCAGAGGCGGCGCACAGGCAGTCGCTGCCCGAACTCAAGCGTCGCCGGTAACGCTGTATAGTGTCACTGACCGTCTCGTCCACGTTCAATGAAATATAGTTTCCTGTTCTTGAAACCGCTGACTCCGTGTTAT